AAAGGTCAAGCCTTGAAGATGAAAAGACACCATTTCTTTGGAGATTGGAGAAAAGGAGAATTGGGGCAAATACCTTGGCTCAGCCCCATCTCGGGATAGTAGGCACAAGTGGATATGTGGATCTTTGGAATTTGGATATGTGGAAATGGGTATTTCAGCAGACCAGAAAAGATTTGGAACAAAACCCAGTAGGTTCTTAAGGGGGGACAATTAGAAGAGAGACTGAGAATGGCCAAGGAATAGCTGAGACTCAGCTGAGATCACATACACGATCATAGAAATGTGTGAGGTTTGTCACTTCTTTTTCCCAAGCAATACTCAGCTGTTTAGAACAACACAAGGGGAAGGGAGGGCAGAGCTACTAAGTACCGGCCAGGGGCCCTCAGCCGATGGACAAAGCTAGGGTGTTTTTAAAGACCTCTCTAAGATGTGGGACCCCGGCCAAGTGGACAGGAATCTGGGTGAGACCAGAACAACAGAGTTGGGGTGGAGGCCACAGAATTGGTGGTCAAGGAGATGAGGTCAAGGGGCAAAGTCAGCATGAGGGAGGTGCAGAGAACATCATGGAGAAAGGCAGCTCATCCTCTGGTCTGGAGAACACAGACTCCACGCCTTATTTGTGTCTTCTTTCCTTCCTCCCTCCCACTCGCCGTCCCTTGCACAGATAGTATGCGCTATCTGTCTCAGACGCGCTAATCATGGGACAGCACAGAGGGGGCCCTTGCCTGGGAGTCTGGAGTCTCCTCTAGACTTCAGCCCTCCACTCCCAGTGTGGCCATCCCGTAGGGTGGCACATACAGGTTCGGTGGGAGCACCCCGGGGACATAAACCAGACTGGGAGTTTGCAGAAGACTTTCCAAGAGGAAGTGACGTCTGAGCCAGGACGTCAAAGATAAGAGAAAGTGAAGCAGATAGAAAGGTGGGGGGTGGGGCTAGCACCAGAGACGTCTGTCTTGGTGTCCTCGCCGCCTTCTGGTAGAAGCTGGCTCGCACGCCCACCTCTCTGCTAGAACCGCTCTAGGATATCTTCACTCATCCCCCCACCAAATCTTGTCTCCACAGGGCCCACAGAGGCTCCAACCTTTCCCTGTCTCGAGGCGATCTCCCTCCTCTGACCCCCACTTCTCTGCTTTCCTTCCTCATTCCCTCCCCGGCCACCAAAATGGGGGTGTTGAGGCGCTCCTCAAGGCTGAGACCACACGTCTTGCTCTCCAGCGTCTCTCTCTTCTTCCATAATCCTGTCAACACACACGGTTTCATCTCCTGCCCCGGCCTCCCCCAGGGACCAGAGCCATGCCCTCAACACCCACAGACATCTCGTGGTCTTGTCCATTAGTCTTCAAAACTTGCTCTGGATTTCACCTCATGACTGTATCTCTGCAGTGGCTCTAGCTTTATCCCTTCCTCTCCCAGATGGGTGGCCTGGGGTCTCGTGAATTGTCACCTCCAAGGCCATCTTGCTTTCCCTCACCACACCCCACAGTCCCCTGGCCTTCACGTGCTCCCTAAACACCATGTACCTGTGCTGTTTGCACAGCCGGAGGGCATTCCTACTCTGCTCCTGGACAAACATACCTGCTTCTGTCCAGAGCTCCTTAGTGACCCTCCCACCCCCCGCCATTATCTGTGAGAGGGAGCCTAGCTCCTTAGATGGGCTTTCAGGCCTCAGTCCAACCTCAGAGCATCATTCCTACTGCCTCTCATTGCCTTTGCTTCAGACAGAGCCTCCCTCCGGCTTAATGCCCTTGCCTCCAAGTGCCCACTGTCCAAAGCTCATCTCAAATACTTCTGGTTCAAAGAGTCAAAGAAACCGCCTCTGTCTTTTTCTGTTGGAACAATGTCTCCTCTCTGACTTTATCCACACCTCCCTATTGGAACTCACTCCATTCTGCCTTGTGTTCGAGTTGTGTGTGTACGTCTCCACTGCCCCAGTACCTCTGGGGGCAGGCCTTGAGGGTGAGGGGTGAGATATTTTTTTTTTTTATCTTTGTATATAGATTCCAGCATGGGAACTTGTACACAATAGATTCTCCATAAAGAAGGGTTGACTAAAGGTATGCGTGTGGGTTCAGTAAGCCATTAAAAAACGCAAAAATAAATCTTTTCTGATTTTACTCTTTGAAAACTAACCTCAAGGGGCGCCTGGGTGGCTCCATGGGTTGAGTGTTGGGCTCTTGATTTCAGCTCAGGTCATGATCTCACAGTTCGTGAGATCGAGCTGTGTGTCAGGCTCCGTGCTGGGAGCGTAGAGCCTGCTTAGGATTCTCTCTCTTTCTGCCCCTCCCATCCCCTCTCTCAAAATGAATAAACTAAAGGGGCGCCAGGGTGGTTCAGTCAGTTGGGTGTCTGTTTTCAGCTCAGGTCATGATCTCATAGGTCATGAAGTTCAAGCCCCACTTCAGGCTCCGTGCTGACAGCTCAGACAGAGCCTGGAGCCTGCTTCAGATTCTGTGTCTCCCTCTCTCTGTCCCTTCCCCGCTCTGTCTCTCTCTCTCTCTCAAAAATAAATAAACATTAAAAATTTTTTTTAAATAAACAGAAAACATTTTAAAAAGAAAACTAACCTAAAAGTAGCATCCCAAAATAATTAGAGCAAGAACAGAGATTGTTGTGATATTCTTGTATTATTCTGTCTCCGTCAACCTTCACAAGTAATTGTGAGTCATGACGTGTCCCTTATCTCTGTCATGGGGATAAATCTGGCCAGACATGGTCTTTGGGAAAAATTTTCTCCAGGTGATAAGAAACCGAGTCAAATATGCCCTGTCATGGAGATTTCCGTTAAAGGAAAGTTCATGTTATAGCAGGGACCTCAGTTGTACCCCAGAGTCTGTCAGGTTTGAACATTCGTGCCTCTGAGCTCCAGCTGAAGGCCCCGTTTCTGTTTCCTCCTGCACACACTTCCAATTCAGTGAGCAGAAGCGTGGCTCTTGATAAAAGAGCTTGCCTGTCTGGGCCTGCTGCGGCCGCGCAGATGTGGGAAGGCAGGTCCGTACACGGCCTGCCGAACAGTGGCCCTGCTGCTGGGGAGTTCTGGGCTTAGCCTCCAAAAGTAAAAAAGTTGCACAGAAAGAGATTTTTGTTCTTTCAAAAACTCCCCATAACTCTTACAAACTGTTACACGGTGAGCAGGTTGCTTTCTAGTCCAGTTAGGACATTGGCAAGGTATAAGGCTCAGACAGAAGCAAGAAGTACTTAGATCTGGGGCACCTAGGGGGGTTCAGTTGGTTGAGCATCTGACTTCAGCTAAGGTCATGATCTCACAGTCCATGAGTTCGAGCCCCCTGTCGGGCTCTGTGCTGACAGCTCAGAGCCTGGAGCCTGCTTCAGATTCTGTGTCTCCCTCTCTCTCTGCCCGCCCACAATTGTACTCTGTTTCTGTCTCTCAAAAATAAATAAATGTTAAAAAACAATAAAGGAGAAAAAGAAATACTTAGATCAGTTGAGGGGAAAAATCTAGCTGGTAAAACACAGGAATGCTTCTGGTGTGGAAAAACAATGAGGCTTGTAATTAGACACCTGTTATCTACACTGCTGAGACACGGAGACTTATGAGCTTGGAGTGAGGGGGAAGGCTTCTTGGAAGATAAAGAGGAAAAAGACTATTTAAAATGTTTGACACCGGGGAATTAGCATGTCTTTAAGGACAAAACCAAGAATGTAGAGCACCTTAGAGATAAACTAATCTATCGGCCCCCTTAATCTACAAATGAGACAGTGAGCTGCATTGGTAAATTATGGGTAAAATCCAGGGCTTTTGACCCAAAGCCATGGCTTCTTCTGGAACTCAGTGGAGGGAGTTGTACTAGCTGCTGAGAGAGGTTTTCATTGTATGAAGATGGAGTTAACATAAACAAACATGTACTGGGGATGGTGTCCTCTGCCGTCTTCATTGAAAACACACACACACACACACACACACACCCCCTTCCAACAAGGTCACGATATATCCCTTCATGTGGCGTGCTCTGTGGTACAACCTTGCTTTTAAAAACAGAACCCCCCCTCCCCCGCCACAAGAAGGGCAGAAACACGATCCTCAGGAGATTTGCATGCTGCTTTCTGACAGCTTCTCTTTGCTGCTTTGAAATATATTTTTAAAAAATGTAAGAGAGGGGCACCTGGGTGGCTCAGTCAGTTAAGCGTCCGACTTTGACTCAGATCATGAGCTCGCAGTTCATGGGTTCAAGCCCCGCACTGGGCTCTTTGCTGACAACTCAGATCCTGGAGCCTGCTTCAGATTCTGTGTCTCCCCGTCTCTCTGCCCCTCCCTTGCTCATACTGTGTGTCTCTCTCTCTCAAAACTAAATAAACATGAAAAAAATTTTTTTTATTTTTTTATTTTTTTTATTTTTTAATGTTTTTTATTTATTTCTAGGAGAGAGAGAGAGAGAGACAGCGTGAGCAGGGGAGGGTCGGAGAGAGAGGGAGTCACAGACTGAAACAGGCTCCAGGCTCTGAGCTGGCAGTCAGCACAGAGCCCGACGCGGGGCTCGAACCCACGAACCGCGAGATCATGACCTAAGCGAAAGTCGGACGCTTAACCGACTAAGCCACCCAGGCGCCCCCCAAAAAAATTTTTTTTCAATATATAATAGGTATGGGAGCAAATTGTAACCTAGACTGACGACAAGCCCAACAAAAAGTAGGTAGGGAATAAAAATAAGAAAAAGAACCTCTAGTGTGCAACAAAAATAAAACAGCACCTTGTTTCATGCATTGATACCTTTTTTAAAAATAGAGTCATTCATGTAACGAACATTTGTTGAGTGCCTACTGTGTGTCAGGCACTGTTCTGGGCACAGGGGACAAATAGACAAGAACCCCCGCCCTCCAGGAGCTTATAGAGGGAGGTGAGCAATACTGTGCTTAAGCTCCATCTCCACCACCCCCGCCCTTACTGCCTGCCAGGCTTTGGTGGAAATGTAACTAAATTGGAACACTGATAATATCTCCACAAATGGGGATGGTTCTAATGCAGATTGCTTTCCGGTTTTCAGGGAGAAGATGGCTTTCCAGACAGCACTGGAGGTCCCCTTTCAGGTAAACGATTGATTCTACCGATGTCCGGGCCTCACTGAGACCTGGCATGGCTACAGTAAAGATAATTCGAGAATATGTTTATCATTAACTTTGAAAATCTGCATTACAGCCTAGAGAAACTTTCCAGCCACAGGTCATGGTGAGCTGCAAGGAAAGGTTAACCAGATTTCACAAAAGCCTTCAAAGAGTGTTTTCTCCGGGCTAACGCTACTGTGCGTATGGGGGGCGGGGTACAGCTGGGTTCCCAGCTGGACAAGTGTATTGTGGGACAGCCAAACAGAGCAAGCGGACCATCCTCCCTCAGGAGTCCTAGGAAACTTGGCATTGGTAGAAAACTGTGCCAGGTGGAAGAAAGCAATGGGGCTTAGGTAAACCAGGTCAGCCGGCCACTGCCTGTTCCCTCGGGCACTCGGTTAGCCAAGGGGACCCTCCTGACACCTGGCCATGTACTATTTCCTACCCCCTTGCTGCTACTGGTGTGTTTAACCAAAGAAACATTAAGGATTGCCTCCTTTCCCACTTTTTATTGTAAGATGGAAATTCTGGCAGTCTTTGGATGTCTTCTTAATTAATCTTGGGGGAAAATCTGGAGTGAGCATTAAAAGAAGCTACCAGTAGAATAATTAAAAAACATAGAACCTCACTCATGTCTTCTCTGTCTTTTAAAACACATATTAAATGACCTGAGTGTCATCAGGGTTTTTGTTTCCTTTCTAAGGGGAGGGTGGTGAACCCTAAAGCCCTCAGGATAATCTCACCAATCCTATCTAGGCTGTGCCTGCACAACCATGCTGAAAATCAGAACATGTGCTGTATGATCAACCTTCTTTTTCCCTCTTAGAAACATGATGTGAGCTGCAGTGATCTCCGGGTGGTGAGACTCTAGGTGATTTTTTTTTTCCATTCAGCAGATCTTTATTTATTAAGGACCTACTGTGTGCTGGGATCCCTGAGGAGGCCAAGTGGCAAAAGTATAGCTCTGGGAGACAGAAGCGGGGATCCTGGTTCCAGTTTAGCCATTCCCTGCTGTGAATAGAGCAATCGAAGGGGAAACTGAGCCAGATGAACTTGCATTGGAGCCTTCCCACCAGGTCTCATGGGACTCGCCCAATGTCCGGGTCCCATCCAGACACCCCATCAGAACTTGTCTTCCTCGGGCCACACCCCAACCCTACCAGAGGCTAGGACCACTGACCAAGGATTATCCCTCTTCCACAAGTGCTGTAGCAGGCCAGCTCAAATTAGAAGCACATAGCTGGGTGATGTGAGGAGGAGAAAGCATCTTTGCATACAAGCAGTCAATTTTTTTAAAAAAATAGCTTCGTGGGGCACCTGGGTGGCTTAGTCGGTTAAGCGTCCGACTTTCGCTTAGGTCATGATCTCGCGGTTCGTGGGTTCGAGCCCCGCGTCGGGCTCTGTGCTGACTGCCAGCTCAGAGCCTGGAGCCTTTTTCAGTCTGTGACTCCCTCTCTCTCCAACTCTCCCCTGCTCGTGCTGTCTCTCTCTCTCTCTTTCCTAGAAATAAATAAAACATTAAAAAAAAAAAATAGCTTCGTGCCCAAGGTGGAGCCTAATGCAGGGCTTGAACTCACAACCCTGAGATCAGGACCTGAGCTGAGAGCAAGTGTCAGACACTTAACAGACTGAGCCACCCAGATGCCCCTCCACTCTCCTATATTTTTAAAATTTCTAACATGAGTTAGGAAAATCTCTCCCCTCAAAACTTTAACCTATATACACAAATGTGTATATAACCAATGATCAGATGTAGGCAGATGCATAGAACGTGTAGTAAGTTAACCAAGGAGATCTGTAAAAGGCTGACTGTGATCCACCTGGGTGATAAGAGTGTGATTTTCCCCCCATGCTCATCTGAACTTTCAGCTTTTCTGCAATAAGCACCTATTTCTTGTCTAATTAAAAAAAGTCTATAAACTTTTGAAAGACTAACACCCTTCACACTAATGTGGAATGTGAGCTAAAATGAAAAAGGATTAAGCTGTTTGGGAATATCTATAAACCTTTATCCATTAAGGTTGTTATTAATTAATAGATTAACTTTAATCAATTTTCAGTTGTCTCAAAAATGTTTACCTGTGTCACAATGAAATGAAAGAGCTTCATAGAGAATAAACTTCTCACAGTGAGGAAAGGTAATATTAATGAGAGCAGATAGTGCCGTTGAACTCAGTATCTTTAGCACCTTGCATGGTACTTAGCACGCAAGAGTGATCAGGTATCGGCTAGATGTTTGCTTTTATCTTCATAAACAAGTAGATGAGAGATAGTAACTTAATGGCTCTGCTCTTGGATAAATTGGTGAAAGCAGATCTGGATACCATAAAACCTTGGATTGTGAAGAACATGTTCGGCGAGTGTTTTGCAAGACGAGCAAACGTTTCTAATACATTTTAACTTGATAAACAAGCGATGTCTTGGCAATACAAGTAGTACGTGATGCTGAAGGTCACATGATTACAACCTGAGCCAATGGTTCTTCTCTCTGTTGCTGTCACTATCTCTGTCTCTTTCTCTCTGTCTCTCTGCCTGTGGGATTGTGGGTGGTCATCTCCCATGCTCAGATCCATGGTCTCAGGCCATGGTGTTTGGCAGAAATCATTGATCTTTCAGAACATTAGAAGGTGCCCACGCTGGCACTAGTGTGTTTTTTGTTACTTCAAAGCGCCTATGGACAGTCTTATGTTTTTCCAGATATGAGTGAGCTTAGGAATGCTTTGCTTCATTCTAGGTCAGGCTGCCTATGGATAGAGACCCTTTCCTCTGCTGCCTTTTCGCCAGTTACATGAAATACAGTATCTGACAAGAATTTATTAATACTGTGCTGTAGCAGTGATTCTGTTAGTGACAGTGAAAGTGATCTTACACAATAACCCTCCTCTCTCTCGCCTCTCTCACACCAGCCACAAAGGTTTTCAAAGGCAAGTGCAGGTGAATTTGTTTCTCTTTCTTCATGTTTTGTATTTTCTTTATTATTTTGTATTATTGTGATCATTTTTACATAAATAATTTTGGATTATGGAATGAATCATCTGAGTTTCCATTCTTTCTTTTTTTTAATGTTTTTATTTATTTTTGAGAGAGACAGAGCATGAGTGGGGAAGGGGCAGAGAGAGAGGGAGACACAGAATCTAAAGCAGGTTCCAGGCTCTGAGCTGTCAGCACAGGGCTCAAAATCATGAACCACCAGACCATGACCTGAGCTGAAGTCAGATGCTCAACCGACTGAGGCACCCAGGCGCCCCAGAGTTTCCATTTATTTCTTACGGAGAGATTTGCTTTGATATACAAGAGCTTCAGATTATAAGCATGCTTCTGGAATGAATTATACTCACAAACCAACGTTTTACTGTATTTCGGTCATCGAAGGGGAGTAGCAGGCTAAGTAAGATTTACTGTATCATTTTACTTACAAACACTAATTTCCCACTTGCTGTGCACCAGTCCCAGTTCGAAGCACGTTAAAAATGTGCTTAGAAAAAAGTGCACGTGACAACTCCGAGCCTACCTCATCGACACCTTCCTCACCGAGTGGTTGTGACAGAAGTGATGCTGGGTCACGTGGCTCGTGCTGGGTCACACAAGTCCTAAGTGAGATTCAAGCCCCAGCCGCCCAGGGGCTCATTCCCAACCCCCACCCGCTGCCCCCGGGCTGCCTCTCTACTGGTCCGATGCCTTTTGTACACATTGAGTGCTTGAGTGTCATACCCGTGGGATGAAGGTCAGCTATCTCAGATAGAGTTGTCATCTGGAACAAAGTCAATGCCCACCCCCCTCCGCCAAAGTCCGTCTCTGACCCACTGTAATTAATATCTTTCACAAAAGCTTGCTGCTTTCCCTGGGTCAGGCGTTCAGGCTCTGACTCAGAGTCTGGATTTTATTGAATTCTTGTCTTTGAAAACCTTCGTTATCTGTGATCCAGTCTGTAGCTGGTTAAAATAAGCAATGAGGGGAGAATGGAAGGCACTGCCCTAGGAGGAGGGACTAGACACACGTGGGCTATGACAGCTGACAGTTTGTAATCAAGGAAAGAAAAAGAATACAAATCAGAATCAGCCACCCCTAGAAAAGCACAGCCCCCTCTATGGAACCGTTGAATACGGAAGCGAACGCCCACAGGAGGCAGAGCACAAGACAGAAGATACTGTGATGCCTGGATTAATGCGACAACGCAAATGACGGTCAGTGATGGTCAGTGCGCCCTGCTGAAGGCTGAAGGAGACGTTAAAGTTTTTCAGTGTTCCCATCCAGACTTTCTAAATGAAAACATTTGGGCATGAAAGGAATATGAGTCAGTTTTCAAGAAAGTATCCCTCAAATTGAAAACACAGAACCTCTGCTTGCCCTCCCTTCTAAGAAATCAGTAACTGTCACAGGGACCACAAGGCTTTCTGCACCTATTCTCCACGACTGGCCAGTTTTCCAAGGATGACTTTCCGACAGCCTTGCAGAATTCAGCACTTGCCTGATCTAAACCGAACGTCCCCCCCGGAGACGAATGCAAAATAGGACTTTCATTTTTTTCTTTTTCTGGCTAGGTCCACGAAATGACACTTTGTTAATATGTTGGTGTCACATAATTTCAGAGTCCAAATTCACACGGAATTCCGTGCCGAATTTTTACCGGGGTCCTTTCTTACGTAAGTTTGTTTCCTTCTGAAAGTGCCCTGTACCCTCAGAGTTTGTTTGATGACAAAATTGAGGCGTGGCATGATTCACTAGCCTAGATCCTTCCAGCTTGTCAGTTAGACTCCCCAGTGCTGCCGCCAACATGATGTCTCCTTAAAGGGGTGTTTTAGAGACAGAGAAAACGAAATTATATTGTTTTTCCCTTCGGTTAAGAGATCAAACGCCCACCAGAAGCCCTTGGGGTAGTTTCTTGGGAGATAAAAATAGTTCATCATTTTCCAGCTCAGAGCATATAAACTACCTCTGATGAATAATGTGTGTGTGTGTGCACATCCCAATGATCTATCAAAGCC